TGTTCGTATGCATGTGCCAATCTCCATATCTAGATGGAATGCGAAACAATGTGAAGCATTGAAGCAAGGAAAAGAAATGTTTTGGGAAGATGTTAAGGTATGTATGTTATATGGTTTATATGGTTATATGTTTATAAGTTTATAAGTTTATATGGTGTATATGGTTTTTAAACTACTTATATGTTTATATGGTTTATATGGTTTTTAAATTACTTATATGTTTATATGGTTTATACGCAGCGGTCTTTTAACGTTCCAGATGAGCGTAAAGGCTTCGTACTTGGGTTGGCCGGGAAAAGATTTAGAGGGTGGAAAAATCTGTTGACGAACACCTATCTTAAGGATGACAAAGGAAAGTGGCTGGAAGAGTTCCCGGCCGGAAGGCCAGAAAAGTATAATCTTTTCATTAAACAAGAAGATTGGACTGAGTTTATTAGACAAAGAGATGACGAATTCCGGCAAAAGAGTGCCAAAAATAGTGAGAGAGCATCAAAGCCCGCGTACCCATACAAAAAAGGGCGTTTGGGATATGCGCGCTTAGAGGAAAAAATTGTAAGTAATAAATAGAAATGATATGTTCTTATTAATTGTCTAAATGTGTTGTATTTGACGATCTAACCGTTTGTTTCTATGCATAGTTAGAGGAGACGAAAAGTGATGAAACCTCACTTCCAGCACATTTGTTGTGGAAGGAAGCCCGTGTGGGCAAGAATCAAGCTGTTGATCCAAGTGTTCTAAGAATTTATGATGAATGCGTAAGTATAACATTGTGTCTTTAATTAAATCAAATTTTTATGACTATTTAATTGATTTTTTTATCTCCATTATTTTCAGGAGACATTGTCACAAACGGAGTCCACCGGTGACGACCAGGATACGAGGAGCGTACTTAGTAAAGCACTGAATGTTCCTGAGTATTCCGGTCGAGTTAGGGGTAAAGGTCACGGTGTGACTCCAACCTCTTTCTACCAGCATCATCGGAAAAGAAATCCTACCAATGCAGAAGTGATGAATGTACTTATGGAATTACAAGCAAAAGTCAATGCATTGGAAAGAGATAAAGAGGTATTAATGAGGGAAAAGGGCAATGCGGCAATGGCGAAAGAAACTAGTGACAACGCTAGTATCAACCGTCAGAATAAATTTCCTGAGGTAATTATAAATATATTGATAAATCTCTATTGTTCAAGTTTCTCATTTTTATTCCACCTCTTTCTATTATTGAATTAAAAGTAATATGTATGCATATTGGTTTAGGGCATTTCATCTTGCCAACTATACGTAATGGCATCAGATTATCACCTTGTTGGCAAGGGAAAAGTGTACAACACTTTGGGAGATTTAATTCATAATACACCGATCCCGGCTGGACACCTGAGAGTATCAGTAGATTATCCTATTGATCCCGATGCGTTGGTACCGGTACCTGACGTGGCCTTGGATATAAGATCGGTGCGAGACGCAGTAGGGTCGTTTGTTGCATGGCCCTTGGACCTCATTTTCATTGATGATGAGGTATGTTTAAAACCGTTAATATGAATCATTTAGATTTCAAATGTCAATTCTGAACCGTTAAGTTAATTATTTTTTAATATTAGCCTCCTACAAAACCCGCTAATAAGGGTAAGGAGATTTTGCAGCAAGGCGGTGAGTCTATGGCATCAATTCCAGAGGTACACTTAAATTGTTTATTATATGATATGAATTTAAAACTGAACGATTTTATAATTTACCTAAGTTATATGATTGTTAGGTATCTGCGAAAGTGTCACAACAAGTGACCCAGCCTGTTCGTAGCAGACCACCCCCGAAAAAGTCAATGCATAAGGGGGGAAGAGGCGGGGGAAGAGGCGTTTTTGTACCTCGATATCGGAATACACTTGGAGTACTTTTGGAAACCTCAGATTTGAAGTCAGGTGGTATTCGTCGAATCCTTATGGATGCAGATATCTTTGGTCTTGACTGCGAAGAAACGATAGGAATGGACGAAATGACTGAGATTATGACGCATGGTGAATTAGGCATCGGCAATGTTCACGCATACATCCGGTATTCCGATAAATATATCATTTAATTAGTTGAACAATTTATTTACACATTTCAATGAAAATAGTCTAATGTTTATATGTTTTTATTTAAGGTTGTTGTACGATAAAAAAATGCGCGAGACTGTATTGGCAAGACGCTTCCATTTCTTGTCTGCCCATATTGTCAGCGGAGCGACAATTGTCAGGGAACCGGGTTCAGTTAGGGAGTACTTAGTGAATCGATACACGGCCTACGTCGGCAACCCAGATAGCTTGTTTATTTTTCCGTATAACAATGTTCCAGTGGGGTGAGTTTTTCATTTATTCTAATATATCTTTGTTTATTTTGCGTAGAAACTTTTCTTCTAAACTGTTGCTTAAATTTTTAGAAAACACTGGTTGTTGTTGGCTATCGATCCGATTAAAGAAGTTGTGTACTTTCTGAATTCGGTAGACGGGGAATGGACTAACTATCCCGCTATGAAGGAAACTGTTGATCAGTAAGTGAGATCGTTCTAACTATTCGTGTATATTTATATATTTAATTATTTCTGTGAGATTGATCTAAATATATGTTTTTATTTTCTTAGATCAATACAAATATTTCGTAGTCAAAGGGACGCACAGGTACCCCGGAGTAAATCATCAAATATTACTTGGATCAAAGTGCAGGTACAAAATTAGTTGCTTATAATAATAATGTTACTTGATAAAATTACACGACAACTATAAAATATATTCTGTTTTTCTATGCAGTGTCCGTTACAGAATAACGATGTAGATTGCGGATACTTTTGCTTGAGGTTTATGAAAGAAATCCTTCATAAAAATCAAGTAGAGATTCCAAGCACGGTATGGATTTATAACTTAGAATAATTTTGTATGATTTCTACATTTAATAACATCATGCATATACTGAAGTAATAATTTCTTATGTAGTACTTTGATGACCTCTATACTATGTCGTACACGAAAGTTCAAGTGGAAGAAGTCAAAGAGGAAATATGTCAATTTTATGTTGAAAACAGATTATTCTGATGGGTATGAATAAAATATTATTGTACGTGTTAGTTTGATTGTGTTGGAGCCTTTAATATTGTTTGTTTAATTTACCGTGTTGTTCATATTCATACTTTGCAGGATGACGACCGTGTCGGTGGAGCATTATTTTCGATGTAATTATATATGATTTAGTTACATATGTATATATATATGGTTACAAATTAACACGATACTTTGTATGTGATTTAGTTATGGTTACAAATGTATATATGGTTACAAATTTAGTTATATATGATTTAGTTACATATATATAGATAAGGAGTGAATATTATATGGTATACCGGTTTCTGTTAATATAATACCGGTTTCTGTGAATATTATAAGGATTGAATTACAGGTTAAATTATTGGACCAAAAAAAAATTACAGGCCGCACAGGGAACCTCAAATTATAGGTTTCACTTTAAAAAATTTGTATGAGCTACGAAAGCGCTTTTGGCTAAAAAGCGCTTTCGTAGGCAGGATAAAAAAAAATTAAATAGAAACCCCCTATCAAAGCGCTTTTTATGGAAAAAGCGCTGTGAAAGACCCCCCTATCAAAGCGCTTTTTCCATAAAGCGCTGTAAAAGCCATGATAAATAAAAAAAAAATTAAATAGAAACCCCCTATCAAAGCGCTTTTTATGGAAAAAGCGCTGGGAAAGACCCCCCTATCAAAGCGCTTTTTCCATAAAAAGCGCTGTAAAAGGCCTGATAAATAAAAAAAAAAATTTAAATAGCACACCTATCAAAGCGCTTTTCAAAAAGCGCTGGGAAAGACCCCCCCTATCAAAGCGCTTTTTAAGGAAAAAGCGCTGGGATAGGTCCACCTACGACAGCGCTTTTGGCCAGAAAAAAGCGCTTTCGTAGCCTACGCCAGCGCTGGCTACGGCAGCGCTTTTAAGCGCTTTTAAAGGGCAAAAAAAAGCGCTGTGAAAGCCCATTTTCGTAGTAGTGTTTACCCCTGAAATTTTTTTTGGTTAAATATGTTTTTGGTCCCTATAAATATCTCAAATTTCATTTTTAGTCCTTATTAAAATAATGACAAGTTTTAGTCTCTATAAAATTATTGTGCACGTAGTTTTAGTCTTTGTTGTTAAACTAATGCGTATTTTTGAATGATTATTTTGTAGACATGTTTAGAACGTTATAAAAAGTTCATTGGAAAAAAAGAAATTCAAATTTTGATTTCTAAGTCAAGATTTTCATTATTTTTATCAATATCTTTTGAAATTAAAAAAAAAATCATATTTAATTCTTCTCATTTTAAAAAATTCTAAAATTTGATAAAGAAACATTTTATAGTATTCTAAACACGTATGAAAAATATTATTCAAAAAATTAAAAGTTTAAGGGTAATTAAACAGTTTTTGAAATTTTAGAAAATAGCAGTGACTAAAACTGGATGAACAAAAATTTTTTAGGGACCAAAGTTTATCATTTTTTAATAGGGATTAAAAATGAAATTTGAGATATTTATAAGGATAAAAAACATATTAAACATTTTTAAAAAAAAAAAACAACCTTGTCATTCAAAGTTCTATTTGTTTGGACCTTTATGAGAATTGGCACATGCCACGTGCGTACGTGTCATGAAATATGACTTCTTCTTTTTTTTCCATATATTTTTATTGACACATTGATTAATTGATGCCACATCACTAAAGTGAGTTTATAAAATTACAAAACATTTTATATTTTACACCTTCTTGCCCTAATCCACCTTCTCCATCTTCGTCCTCCACAAATCGCAAGTTATTCTTCATATGTGTCATCTTCATCTCGTAACCTCCAATTCTTGAAGCTGGTTATCTTCTTCTCCAACTCTTTCAAAATGATTGGTAGAAGATATTCTTATATCGAGAACTCTAATGGAATAGCTATATCCAGATGTGGCTGCAACTTGACAATGAAGATGTGGGTTTCAAACACCCATGAAAACCCTAAGAGAAAGTTCTGGAGGTGCACAAATTTGGGAAAGGTAAGTGTCATTGTTTTGTAATAATTCTCACTATGTATTGTAAATTGATTTTTCCCAATATATTGTCTATTAAATTGTTTGATTTTCTACCGAGTGATGCAAGTTATGATCTGTTCATTCGGGACGACGAAGTTGATGATTTTTTATTGAACACTCGAAATAAGGGAATATTAACAGGTGAAGACATGAATTCAAACAATTATGAAGTAATACTTGGTTATATTAAAGAGATTGTTAATAATTTCGAGAAGCAGTTTGGTAAAGAATATGGGAAAAAGTCTAGCTCAAAGAAGGTTGAAAAGTTGAAGATAATGTTGCAAATTGAAAGGAAGAAGAACTTTTGGTTAATGATTGCCCTTATTGTTAGTTATTGTTTTCAAACGGTCAATTTAATTTTCAACTTTATTGTTTCATGGATGTTTGTAGGTCACTATAATGTTGTTAGATTATTGTATCATGGTTTTAATGTAATGTTGTATACAGAACCTAATGTTTTCAATGTAATGATAAAGGTTGAATAAATGAATGATATTGAGATGCTGGCAAACATTTTGTGTTCTAATGCTAATTGACATTATAAGATATTGACATTATAATGCTAATTGTCTTAACATCAAGCCTTAAAAAGGTCATTACATAAACAACTATCTTAGCAGTCATGACAAAATGGTAAAGACACTTAATACTGTTCCTAAAAGCAAATGTCTTAGCAGTCAAACATATTACAAAAGACACTTAATATTGTTCCTAAAAGAAAATACCTTAACAATTAAACATATTATAAAAGACAATTAATATTGTTCTTAATCGAAAGTCTTGCTAATGTTCTCCCAAGACCTCATTGCCTTGAAACATGTCCCTAGTCTAGGATCAACAACCATCATAGCAGGTTCCTGAGTCAGAGAACCCTATTCATCTTCTATAATGATCATTGGTTCATCATTGTTTGCACTTGGGCCTTTAATTGCTTTGGTTTTCAATATTATCAACATGTCACTTGATTTTGTTGGAGTCTCAGACTTCGCCTTCTTTGTTTTTGGAGCTTTCTTGACAGACACATATTTCCTTTTGTTTGCAACAATTTCTGCCTTACTAATCACGCCATTTTGTGCTTGGACAATTTTTTCCTCACTAAAAGCATCAGTTTGGACAATTTGTTAAGCACCAGTTTGGACTGTTTGTTCAACACCAATTTGGACCGTTTGTTCAGCACCAGTTTGGACAATTTGTTTAGCACCAATTTTCTCAGTAGGTTCTTCACCAATTTTCTCAGTAGGTTCTTCATCAATTGGTTCAGCTGCTTATGATCTACTTGGTCTTGGATTCTTTCTCTACATCAATGAAAATCAAGATAGTTACAAAATGCATCATAATACTACAATCACATCTAGACAGTTACCAACATAAACATTTACCTTTCTTTTCAAAGCTTCTGGATCTTGAGATATGGCCTTACATTTTATGAAGTTATAACCCATTTTGTCACATTTAGTACACTTGTATGTAACTCCAACTCTCCTTAGCCTTGTGTTACCTTCACCTAATTCCCTAAATCTAAGTTTCTTAGGTCTACCAAGGCCATTCTTGTATAAAGGATAGTGTGGTTCATCTGCATCAACAATAGGCCACATATCCATCTCATTTATTAGGCTAATAGGAACATTGCAAGAAAGTACATATTTTTCCCTTGAATAACAATCATCCATAAAGTCCTTAGGTTTCTTTTGATAATAGGTTGCCTTGGTTGCACCCATCATCAGATCTCTAATCAAACTGCCTCCACCAAATCTCTTCTCGAAATTTGCATAGAGATGTATAAGACACAACCTATATTATATTCTTTCAAACATTTCCTCAAATACACTTACCAAACACTGCAACCATAACACGTATTTAATACATAAACATGTCACATTAGTTATCAACAAAACACATATACTCTGACATACAACAAAACACATATATTATGACATACCTTTTGTTGGTCTGAGATGAAGACATATCTTCTATCTTGGCCAATGTATTCCATTAACAATTCCAAAAATCATTTCCAACTCTCTCTCTTGTTTCAGTTTCAACAACCCCAAATTCCAATGAAAAATATTGATCATTTGGATCCCTACCTATAGCTATCAACAACTAACCTTCATACTTTGTCTTCAAATTTTAGTAATCCACCCCAATAAAGGGTCTACACCCCTTGATAAATCCTTTTTCGCACCCATTCAATAAGAAGTAGATGTATTGGGTCTGTCTATATTAATCTTCATTACTTTCCCAAAATATACTCTTCTTAATTCAACTGTATAAATCTAAACCATTGCATATTGTCTATCTGCATCTCCTTCAATTATGTCTTTTGCTATCTCCTTGACCTTTCATGCCCTACTTGGTGTAATCCCAATTGAGTAGTTCTTTCTCATGTCTTGGATGATATCAGCTATCCCCACCTTCTGAGTTGTCTTCATCTTATTTACAACAACCTTTGCTATCCACTTAGACTTTGCACTGGTATTGTTTAAAACCCTAAAGCAAGTGTGGGTGCCCACTCATGTTTTTATTGGAAAAGTCATATTGCCACCTACTTTAGAGCATAGACCTAAAAACCCATATTCACCATTGCATTCAACCTTCACTCTATTTCTTTCATTCTTCACAAATGTAATTTCCCTCCCATTCAAGACTGACCACTCTATTATAGCATATTTGAAATCTCCCAAGGAATCAAATTCAATTCCTATCTTAAACTCATAGTCCTTCCTAAGTTGTTCCTTCCTAAACTTTTTATATTTTGGAAGTTTTTCATCTTCAGGTGCATCTGGGTCTAAGCTACCCAAGTCATAACTCACATATTCATCTTCTTCCTTATCCATACTTTCCCTATCCATATCACTTCTTTCCTTATCCTTACTTTCACAATCTCTCCTTTCTTTAACCTTTGATTTAATTTCTTTGGCCATCCATGTTGGTGCAACATTAATTACCATGCCCTTCTTCGCAGGAGATTTCTTTTTTAGTGACTTAGAGGCACACCGCTTAAACCTATATGACTTTCCATCAGTTTCAATACTCATTTCACCAACTTTGTGCTTTTCAATTTCAAGTGATTCAAAACCATCATCCATTGCAATGGTTCTTTCATCCTCTGTATCATCAAATCTAACCCTAGGTGCTTCATTATCCCTTTCTGCATCGCTTGAATCAGTTCCTACACTCATCTCAATACATTGAGGCTCAATAACCTTGAGTTTGATGTCCTTTACATTATGCTCGACAGATAAATGGCCTTCTGTGTTATTACCAAGAACAAATGTAACAACATCCAAAACACGGTCATCCTTATTAACTTCAACATAACATTCATCTATACCTTCCAATTTTCTCCAAACCCTAAATGCATTTCTATTGTATCCCCAATCAAGTATTAGAGTATTCACATCAGATAATCCCCAATTTTCGCTATCAATATCGGACACAGATGTTTGAACCCCACTCCTATAAAAACATTGAATTTCTCTATAACAAACTCCCCTCCATAATGACCAATAACACTGAACTTACCCATTTTATGTATCAGAAACAACTTCAATGCTACAATAGTGTTCTAAATCTAACAATAGAAAACAAAAAAGGAATAGATAAAATGATTTGGTACCTTGAACGCTTCGAGTTATACGAGCGATTGATTGCTTCAACAACCACTTTCTGCATATTGAATGTCAATTAGGGCAAGGAGGTGTAAAATAGAAAATGTCTTGTAATTTTATAAACTCACTTTAGTGATGTGGCATCAATTAATTCATGTGTCAATCAAAATATATGAAAAAAATACTTCCTTCGTAACGATTTATAAACAAATTTGACTATTTTGATACGTTTGACAATTAATGTATTTAGTCTATATATAGACTAGATATATTAATTGTCAAATGTACCCAAAAAATCAAATTTATTTATAAATTGTTGTATCACAATTCATGACACGTACGCATCTGACCTGCACCAATTTCTATCAAGGTCCAAACAAATAGAATCTTTGAATGAGAATGTTGTTTTTGCAATAAAAAAAAAATTGAAAGAATAAATCGAAAGTCACTTATATAACCGAGGTAAAATCCTATTAATCCTTAATTAAATCAAAAGTGAATGGATCATTTAATTCTGGAAATTCTTTAAACAGTGAGAGAGAGAAAATAATCAATTTATGTTTTATAACCTTCACTTTCCGGTCCTTTTAAGGTTTCCAAAAGTCACTTTCTTTCTAACCAAAAATGAAATAAGGTGGGTGAAAACAATGATAACGAAGTCTTAGCCATTACTGTCCTAGACATGTTAGATTTGGAAATGGATCATGTAGCAATGAATATATATGGGTAACAAGAAGACGAGAAACAATTTTGTAAATATTGATGGACAAAATAAAAGAGCAGGAATTGGATAGAGAATGCATAAGTACTACTCTATTTTAAAAACTAATCTCAACCGTTAAATTATTATTTTAAATAAATGTAATGGTATATTTTGGATGATACACTTAAATGCTACCTGATCTTAGACGTCACCAAAAAAACAAATATAATTTTATTTATAATTTTAACATAATCATTACTTTTACATTTTTATATGCACCGAACAAAATTAAAAAAAGAAAAGATTTTAAAATCTTATACTGAAATAATTCTTACGAAATACACTGTATCATAAGATTATAAATAATACACAATAGAAAGAAAAAAAGATGATAACCTAATAATTATAATAAAATTTATAAATACATATGTTAAATCTTAACTTATTACTACTCCCTTCATCTCAAATTATAAAAGAAAAAATATATATTTTTCTTATTCTAAAATATAAAAGAAAAAATTATCTTTCATCTTTTTTAAGATAAAATTAAATATAAACACTACGCCAAAAATGATTTTTTGTATCACCTAATTTAATAGCACTTTTAAAAAAAATGCTATTAAAATGGAAAAAACACATTTATAATAGCACTTTTTAATCGGGCGCTATTATATAATACAGACTATGTAATTTTGATAGCACTTTGTACCAGAACGCTATTATTAAACTTCTTTAAGATAGCATTTTGTATAAAACGCTATTATTTGACTACCTATATAATAGCATTTATTAAAAAGCGCTATGTTATATATAATAATGAATTAATTAATTAATTGATAAAAAAAAAAACAAAACACATTTTCAGAAAATTGGATTTCCCATCAATTTTCCCCTTTCGATTTTCCCGGCCACACCACCGCCGTCATCGCCGCTTCATCCACCGACGACAGCGGCATCCCGTCTCAAGATCTCGCAGTTCTCCTCGAAGTCGACGGGTGAATTTTCGCTTTTCTTCGTTATTAACAATCTCGTTTCAGTTTCACTCTGCTCAATGGGTTGTATTGCAGTACAATTTTGAAGGAAGATATGATCTAGTTAGGTTCATTAAGACAGTGCAAAAAGTGGGGCTCTATGTTAATCTTCGCATTGGACCTTATGTTTGCGCCGAGTG